GCAGCTGCTTGTCAGCATCTAGTTCCTCTGCACTATGGTTAAATACAATTGAATGCTCACTTAGGTAACCTGAATATATTTAGGTTTGTCCTCTGTAGTCTAAATCGGTGGTTGAAGACTGCATTCAGCTGCGAAGCATAGGTTTGCTGCACTGTTAAATCTTTCAAAGTTAAAAAAGCTAGACAAGGCTCTGTTGTTGCCGCTTCTGTGGTTATTGTACTTCTAAATGCAAGATACATTCCAAGGATGAATTCAGCACATTAGGAAAACAAGCATATGAACACAGGCCACACAGTAGTTTAATGTTTATTTTGTTGCTCTTAATGGCCTTGGCCGTATGTAATCCAAAATGATAAGTTCTAATGTTTGCTTGTTTTGCTTTGAACAGTAACAGAACCCTTAACCTCAGAGCAAAATAACCAGTTAAGATTAAGGAGCGAATTGGACATGGTGATCACATACCTGGGCACCAGAATTATCATGCTATTTGTTGTTGTTTAGTCCTTTAGTCATGTCCAACTCTTCATGACCCCATGGACGCCAGGCCCTCCTGTCTTCCACTGCCTCCCGGAGTTGGGTCAAATGCATGCTGGTTGCTTCGATGACACTGTCCAACCTTCTCGTCCTCTGTCGTCCCCTTCTCCTCTTGCCTTCAGACTTTCCTAACATCAGTGTCTTTTCTAGGGAGCCTTCTCTTCTCATGAGATGGCCAAAGTATTGGAGCCTCAGCTTCAGGATCTGTCCTTCCAGTGAGCACTCAGGGTTGATTTCCTTTAGAATGGATAAGTTTGTTCTCTTTGCAGTCCAGGGGATTCTCAAGAGCCTCCTCCAGCACCACAATTCAAAAGCATCAATTCTTCAGCGGGCAGCTTTCTTTATGGTCCAGCTCTCACTTCTGTACATAGCTACAGAAAAAACCATAGCTTTGACTATTCTGACTTTTGTTGGCAAGGTGATGTTTCCGCTTTTAAAGATGCTGTTGAGGTTTGTCATGGCTTTTCTCCCAAGAAGCAGGCATCTTTTAATTTTGGGGCTGCTGTCACCATCTGCAATGATCATGGAGCCCAAGAAAGTAAAATCTATCACTGTCACAATTATTATTAGTATTGTTTTAAGAGTATGTTTCTAGCTGATGGAATAGATAAATTCTTGGGACTTTGGGGTATTTTTTACTTATTTCATCTGGTTTTCCCACTTCTATCTCTCCATTCCAACACAAGACCATGAGGACAGGGGGGCAGATCACCTGGGTAGCAGCAGAAATGACAGATCAAACATTCAGAACTGTTGGGCCACATTTTCCCAACATACTATGGGTCTCCTTAATCTCCAACAAGTAATTTATATGAAATAAGTACTGGTATTCATTTTTTTAAAAAACCACAAACGGTAAATTAAAACACCACATGCAACATCCAGTGTGTGTTTCTTTGAAATTGTCAAGGACGTCGATTCTCATAGAACAGTTTTTTCAGCCATCTACAGAAATCCTTACACCATGCAAATTACCTGGCACAGAGGTGCCGGTTTTGCTCCTGATTATATTATTTTTCACACAATATCCAGAGAGAATGAAGGCAGTAGTCTCTCCCCCCTCCCCCCATTGTAAAACTATCCAGTCAAATCGGAGGTGTAATAAGAAATTGGTTGCTGTGAAGATTTATTTACATTGACATTACCCTCGTTGGCTCTTGATGTGCGTGGCTGACGCCCGCCTCTCCTGCACGCGCCTGGGACCTGTGGCCACCGTCCGGGCAGCCAGTCTGGAGCTGCCACACCACTGGGAAAGGGCGTCCTTGGTGAGGGGAGGCGGGTGCCACAGGGCCGGCAGGTCCACTGACCATGAGCTCAGGTGAGGCAGGCTGGGAAGGGGGCCTCCTCGCCAGTGCACTGGGCAGGTGGGCGCAGGCAAGAAGGAGAGCCCCAGGCCAGGGCTCCGCCGGGCAGAATCCAGCTGGCCTGGTATGCCACTCTCCCCACACACACACACACTTTGGAGGCGAGAAGGACAGGCAGGTGTCCTGTGCAGTTCCTCGCCAGGGCTCGCTCTCCCCGCGATGGAACACCCGCCTACACACAGCATCGTCGGAAATAAAATGCCTGGTGGTAAAATTCCTGGCGCGACTGTCCTCATTACCCCCAGGATTTTCATTTTTACTCCATTTGGGGTAATTTACCCCTGTTCCCTGACCACTGCCATAGTCTCTCGAGACTGAAGGATGCCTATGGACATGGACTTTCCTATCAAATTTCAGACATGGGAGAGGGAATACAAGGTTTAGCATCCAGGGATAGCAAGCCATATTCCTTCCTTTTAATTTCTTTTTCTTATTTACTGTACACTCTTTGGGGGCAAAAAAAGGTTGGGAAATTAGTTTTAAAGGGAAATGTACTGGTGGGAAAGTCTGGTAATCCTGTCCCATCCACTGCTTCCTCCATTTACAGGAATTAATATAAACTTTTGATCAGTTGGCAAGTTTTTTAAGAGGAGGTGGGCATAATACCTCTGTATCCTGCATTTTTATAGATGAAAGGAAGAAAGAGAGCTCATAGCAAATCATTACAGTTTCCCCTTTGTTCTAAGCTTTTTTTTTCCTGTACAGGGAGATAGATGAGCTGGAGAAAGTGAAGTAAGTTCTAGAGTGCTATTTCTTCCATCTCTTGCTACACCACAAGATCAAAGTGTCTCAGATTGAAAAAGGACTAGGTAGCCACTTGGAGAACAGGAGCTCAGTGGCTGATCAGTATGGAAAAGATTGATTTATGGACAACTATTTCGACCCAGTGTAAGACAGCTACTTAATTTCAGAAAAGGGTAAAGAACAAGCAAATTTAATGTATTTATTTGTCATATTTCCCACCATACAATGCTCAAGGGAATCTTGCAAGAGTAAAGTAAAACATAAAACAACCCTGACATTAAAAAGTGATGGCTGAAATTCCAATCAAATGGATAAAACTGGTAAAACTAATAGCTAATTGACCAGCCTGAACGATTATAGTTTGTCTCATAGAACTATTTTCACAGTGTTTTGGGCAAATGGGCCCATGTTCTGTCTAAACAATGAAATGAACCTCATTCAGTCAATGTATGGAAAGTCTGCATGATGACTTTGTAGGTAACGTCATACTGCCTGTCCAGGCATTCACACAAGTCACTTTTGAAGAATAGGAAATGGTGACTCTCACATGTCATTGGCCAGATGCAATGGATGCAAAGATAATAAGTCTTGCCACATAGAATTTTTAGTAGGATTTGCCAAGGCGTCAGCATTTGACCTTCATGGGACTCAACAGTAGAAACCAGCCCTGAGCATAGTACACTCTGTGGTTTACTGCAAAGAATTCCTCCCCCGCTTTTTAAAAACAAACCAGTCCTTGAAGCTATTGCCCCAGTGTTGGAGGTAAGCTCCTAATAGGCAAATTGGAGTCAAATCAATACTTTATACTGTTGGGAGTTGTGGTGAATCATGCACTTCCAAAGGAAAAGTTAGCTTTCTCTCTTTTGCATCGTGAGTTTGGGCGACATCGGCATATGGACACAAGCAATGAGGGCTGTGACTAGGACAGGGTAATCAAGGCTGTGCCCCAAGGCACCAAAATTCAGAAGGCACTGAAACTATCATCATCATCGAACTGCAGAGCTGGAAAAGGTCGTATGGATCAAATCCATCCCCTCTCAGGGAGGCAAAATGAGGAATTGAACTGCCTAAATCTCTGAGCTATCCAGCAGTTCTATCTAGGGATGAACCTAGAGGACCGCAGTTTCCACCCATATTCACACTTTCGTTCCCCGCCCCAAGGCATAAATCTCTACGTTTTCTTTCTTTTCTTTTTTGTTGAGGAGGGGGGAAAAGACCACCAAATTCTCTTCCTCCTCTTTAGTGGCACCCATGCTGCTTGCCCCAGGTGCCAAAAGGGCTAGGGACGGCTCTCCTAGCAGTTAGGTCCTGGTGTGTGGCTCTCGTGTGTGTGTGTGTGTGTGTGTGTGTGTACACACAAACACACACACACACATTCCTCCGACTCACGAGCACGGGGGCGTTAGTACTTCCGCTGATATATATATTTTAAGACAGAACTCAAAAATCCTTAAGAGTGGAAAGAGAAAGAGGCGAAGAAGGCGAGAGAGAAGCGGATTTCAGCAATCCACCCACCTCTCTCTCCCTCTCCCTCTCTCTCCCCCCCCTCCAGCTGCCAGGCAGCCTTGGAAACGGCATTTGCGTTGCCTCCGCTGCGGCGTTCTCGCAAGGACGGCTCCCAAGCAAGGCAACGGATTAAGGGCAAGGAGAGCCGAGGCGGCGGCGGCGGCGGCGGCCCGGGAGGGTTTGGCGGGCGCGGAGCTGGGGCGTGCGTCAATAATCTTTTTTAGTTAAGGGAGAGCCCACAGGAGCTGAACCAGGCAAGGATATGATCATTCAAATGTAACTTTAATACAGATAATAGGACAAGGGGATTAGATTTTGACCTTGATATGTTTGGTAGAGCTTAGCCCCAAGGAAACCTACATATGATAGCAGCCTAAGAGCCTCAACATAGGCAATCCAACACACATTTATGTGTAAATCAGCCCCACTATGTCCAATATCTGCATTTCTGAGTCGCAACACTCACATACATTCCAAAATCATTCCTTCTTCCACTTAACAGTGCCCACCCAAGTCATAGGATTCCTCCTCCTGCTTCTTCTCTTACACTGTATTTGCATCTTCTGGAACCAATATCTTTGATACCTGCATGGAGAACGTTGCCATTGTCCTGCAGTTCTGCCTTGTCCTCATTTCCCCCTTTGCCTTCCAGACTGGGACTGTAGTGGCGAGGTTTCATTAACAGGGATTTTCTTTTGTTGACCGCAACGCCCAAAATCTGCTCTTCAGCTTTTCTCTTCTTTGCCAGGGAGCTTTTGTATGCACTGCATTTGTGTAAAAATATTGATAGTAGATGAAATGGACACGAAATACATTGCATAAATCTAGCCGCTGCCGCCGCCACTGCCGCCTCCCCTTCCTCATGCGCTGGATCGGGCGCCCGGGTGCTTTCCCTTCTCCTCTTCCTCCAGCTCGTCCTTCTCTTCCTGCCGCCGCCGCCGCCGCCTCCGGTGCTCGGAACTAGCCGCCCTATCGCCGCTGCCTCCATTTGCTGGTGGATGCCGCCGGGAAGCGGGCGGAGCGCGCAGCCGGGGAGGGGGGCTGCCGCGGCCGCCGGAGTACATGCCAGAGCCCTCTCCGCGTCTTCTCACCAGCATGCTTTACTTCCAGATGGTGATCATGGCAGGGACTGTGATGCTGGCTTATTACTTCGAGTACACCGACACCTTCTCGGTCAACGTGCAAGGCTTCTTCTGCTACGAGAGCGCCTACCGCAAGCCTTACCCGGGCCCGGAGGAGAGCAGCGCCGTGCCCCCGGTCCTCCTCTATTCGCTGGCGGCCGGGGTGCCCGTTTTGGTGGTAAGCGAGATGGGGTGAGGGGGTGGGGGGTGGCAGCCTTCCCTTCCTTCCCTGCCTCCCTCGGGTCCCTTCTGTTTGGGGCCTTCACCCCGGAGAGAGTCAGGGCAGCTAAGTTGTTCAACTTGTTGACAGGATGGGACCGCGAGGGCTCCAAAACAAGGGGCCGGGCGCGGCGAGGGAGGCATCCGAGGGGGCGGGAAGAGGAGCCGGGACGGTCCCGTGTGAGGCGAACCGCCGTCACCTTTAGCTGCCCGCCTTGGTTGTATCCTGACTCCTTGGCCGTGTTCTGTTTCCGCGTTTGCGGCAGCGCCTTAATTCCCTCACCTTGACGCCGCCAGAGCTGTCGCGCCCTTTCCCTCTTAGCCTGGATTTATTCACCGGGTCGCCCTATCTTTGGGTCACCCAGTTGGACTCTTTAGGCGGCGTGTGGGGGAGGGGGCGTGGGCTTTCCCGCTCCAAACTCACTCAGCCTGTAGTAGAGCCATTTTGTCAAGACGACGGCCCAGCGGGTCTCCCGAGATGTGTGCATCTTCTCACAAGCATGGGGTTATGTGTGTATCTCTATTCCACAAGCCCGGTGATATGCAGACGGTCTGCCTTAGTGAAGGCATTGGGACACTTCGAGGTCCTTTAAAAAACACACACACCCCAAAAAAACAGAAACCAAAACCGAAAAACTCTAGCCCTGACATGGTAGTTCCATTTCAATTTTTGTAACACACACATATTTTTTTTATTCAGAGCATGGTGTTAGTCACAGCTTGGTGGGCAGTATTCTGAGAGCGCCTGATTGCTGATAATAACCACATTGCTGATGTTTCCGACAGCAAAGAAAAGACAAGCTTAGCCTGACAGTAGGCTGCTGTTTAAAATGGAGCAGGGGCTGTTTTGTGTTTATGCCTTGTACATGTAGGGGATGCCACAGTCCTAGACGTACCATGGAAGTCAAATCTTATAACCCTCTTCCTTTCATGTGGTCTCCTGATTTTCTTTTCTTTCTTTCTTTTTTAAATGCATGTCTCTGTATATCTGTAAATTCATATGCAGGCGCACAAACACACACTCAGAGATACACACACACACAGTTGAGGAGATTCCATTGTAATATAGTTCTGTCGTCTTCTGGGGGAAAGAATGCTAGCTGAAAAGGAATGAAAAATCTACCTTTAAATAGCTCTGTGTACAAAGTTGTAAAGTCAGCTGACAAAAGCATTAACATCATTTAATAATCCCTGACCATATTGAACAGATGAACAGAAAAGGGAGTGTGGAGCCATTAGGGCTGGATTATATATAGCCATGAGCACGCGTGCACACAGATACTTATAACTGCAAGGCATTGCATAAAATTATTCTTACAACCTCCTGTGTTTTCTGCCTCTTACAGCCAGTCTTTGAGCAATAAAGATATTATTTTAGAATGTGAACATTCACAATTACAGTCTCCTTGAAATCTCTGTACACAGAGACACACACAGAGTTCAGACCTTTCCATCAGTGGGGCTTAGCTAGTGATCATGTTCAATATAAATTGATGACATTTACAGTCCTTTGAAACTTCATGATTTAAAACCACGGAGCCAACTTATGTCCTATTTATTAAAAAAGATAGTTTTCTCCCAGCTTTGAAAATTCAAAAACACACCATTTGATAACATAATGTATCCTCTTACTTTGGGTCAAAAATAATTTTTAATTGCAATGTTTCCCATGTAATATATCCATACATGCACCTAGGAAATAGAAAAGACTTCTAATCACTTCCCATTGTAATAGTCTTCTTCAGTCTCATTTTTTCAGGCATTATATGATTGCTAATGGAAAGAAGTGTGATTCCTGCTGCCATGTTTTAGTTGAAGTAAAAGATAGTTAAGACTGATTTACATAAAAGTGAGCCCCACTGAATCATGAGGGACTAATCACTAAGTAAATATCCTTAGGAGAAAATTTTAACTTATGTGCCTGAAATGATGGATGCAGAAGAGAAGAAGTGGAAAGTGAAGACAGGATCACCATGGAACGAACCTTCCTTCCTTCCTTCCTTCCTTCCGTCCTTCCGTCCGTCCGTCCGTCCGTCCGTCCTTGAGAGTTTAGATAGCAATCTTTTTCATCAGGTACATGAAATGGAAGATAGTGGACACCTGTGAACAGTGTCAGAAGGAAAAAAAGGACTTTACATGCTGAGTAGTTCTCGATATGTCATTGACTTTACATAATTATGTACAGTATTTGATTACTCAGAACTGAAGTCTGTATCCAATTCTGTATCCAGTTCTGTGGAACTCCGTTGGCTCCATGCAATACCACTGATTTAACAGCCTGGATGTTTCACCCTTATATTACTTTTTTCACTTCACTCAGTTCTCTCTTTAAAATAAAAACACCCTTTCTTCTTTTAGGTAGGTATGAGACTCCAGGTATACATTTGTGTGTGTTTAGTTCCAGAAAAGATAGGATCCTGAGGCTGGTGGTACTTTGTTGTTCAAAAAAACCAAGGCCTTGATAAAATGAAGCTCACCTATGGTGGATCCTCACTGATCAACACTGGATTTGTGGGAGTGACTGTGTCATTACAGTGTGATTTGGATAGAAGGGCGTTCAGGAAGGGATAGACCTGTTTATGTTTGTGAATAGCCTTAGAAAAACATGAGATGTATCCTCTTTAGTTTCTCTTCCAATGCCAGTGTGTTATTGTTATCCCAGTCATGGATTTTCACTGCCAACGTCAAATGTCATCCACATGACTGTTTGTGTGAAACTCTGTGTATTCATCTGCAGAACGGATAATGGTGCTTGGGTACAGTAGTGCAAATAACTTAAGAGGAAGACAGTGAGTTATCAACAGTGCCTTTTTAACTGCACACTCGAGTATATTCCATAGTAGTTTCTTAAATGGTTGAATTTGATTCTTTGATGCCTCTGTACTAACTCCCCACTCTTCCAGCCTTAGTAATGTCCTTCTCAGTGCTGATTTCTGTATCCAAGGGAGCTGCGCAGAGGAAAGAAGGAAGGCGTATGGGAAGAGACCTATTTTTTAATTTGTCATGTCACATGACTAAAGTGTTGCATCTAAAACATTGGGTGGCTGGCCATTTTGCTATAATTCATTCTATGATTTATTTTGATGGAGAGTGGTCAGGTTAAGTATTAGTGACACACTTCTCTTTGGTGATTCTGTTTAAAGATGACCATTGAAATACATTTTCTTCTCTTATTTATTCTCCCCAAATGTTGTCTTATCAGTTGGAAATCACATTTATATTTATCATGCATCGGGACTGTTTGTTGGATGCAGTGTAAAATTATGAATTCAGTCATTACTTCAGAAGAATTAATATGATCAGCCAATTAAAGAAACTTGGAGACAACAGTGGACTGCTTAATTTGGCATGCATTCTCTTACTACATTCACTTTCAGTGCCAGCTGAGTGTTATATATTTATTAGCTAAAAGCCCATTAAGTTTGATAGACATAACAGTCGAGAATAATAGAGAATCCCAGGCTTCCCCCAGATTCAGAAATCTGCCTTGCCCTGATTCTCTCAGCAAATGGATCCAGTTTTCTGCCACTATAGCTGATTTCTCTGAAGCTGTTAAGGGAGTATATTAAAGCTAAAACTTTTTCTTGCATTCAGCTGGAGTAGTACAGAAGTTGGAGTAAGGACTATGGAGTTGAGCATCCTGGCTTTGCATCCTTTGTCCTTGTAATCTCATCACCACTTTCTAATTCTTTTACTTCTTGATGTTCAGTCGGAAAGAGGCTGAAATTAAGTTGTTACTAGCATTTGCTTAGTCATGGGTAGACTTTTTCGCACTTGGTAGAGTTTTTCAGGGAAAAACAGAGGTTGGAAAATTACCTTTTTGGACTAGAGCTCATAGAATTGGAGATGTGGGAGCTGTAGTCCAGTCCCACCCCCTAAATTTTTCATGCTTTGGAGAAAGGTGGAGCCTTCACCCACCTATGCATTGTGTGTACTTCTCACAGATCAGAGGCAAGTGATGGGTTGGATTTGTGGATGCTTCAGCAGCATCTGTATAAATAATGCTTCTGGAGGCATAACTTTATTTAGATATGCATATACATTAAAACTGGAGTATATGAGCTGTCTGTATACCTGTAAGCACCCAGAGTAACATACAACAATAAAAAATTCAATTTCCCACTAACATTACATGCTGTGAAGTTGGAACTGACTTATAGGAATCCTAATAGAGCTGTTATGGTGTTTAAGGAAGGTTGTTTATTTTTTGTATTACTTCCACACCAGTGGGGTTCTGTGACTGAGCAGGGATTCAAACCTAGAACTCCTAAGTCCTAGTCTGTCACTCTATCCACTATATCATCATGGGTATCTTTCCCACTCACAGTAAGCCTTTAAACTAAAAAAGCAGCCTTTTGATAGAGAAATGAATGATACCAGGTTACTTGCAGCAGTGAAATTAAAAAAAAACTGGACTTTAATGCACATCAGGAGAATGGAACCTGTCCATGATGACTGCATAGATTTAGACACCCGGTTTCTCCTCTTACCTACACTGGTTTATGCCTTCATCTGTTCTACCTTGGATTTTGTTTCTCAAAGCTCTTCCAGTTGTACTGTTTCTTTTGCCCTCGTTCAAGGTTTTGATGCTGATGTAACAGGCTTAATCTGTGGTGTCAAAACAATATTCTTCTGGTTTTGATATGTTTTGTGCAAATTGCGGTGAAATTCCAAGGCTTTTTTCTTCCTTCAGAGAAGTGAGGTTTTGTGTTTTTTTTAAAAATCAGTACACAGATACACATGTCTGTGTACTGAAAAAGCTCACTTCTCTGAAGGAAGAAAAAAGCCTTGGAATTTCACCACAATTTGCACAAAACATGTACCTTTGTAAGTGGTATGTACTAAGATGCTAAGTATTGTGCTTTTTCCTGGCATATACAGTGAAATGTGCTGTGGAAGGTGATTGTCCTCACATCCGCCATTTTTATCTTTAGTTCTTTAATTTTGATTTCCCATCTG